TCCCCACGAGGCCTTCGTACAATCCCTTGATTGGATTTTCTCCGGCCGTGATCACGCCATGGAGCCAGATGAGCAACATTCTGTGGCCGTGCTCCCTGTAGCTTTTAGTGCCTGGCAAGATCAAAGCACAAATGAAATCCCACACCTCACCGTGCACGGCCCTGATGGAGCCCATTTCTGAACTGGGGGGTTCAGACACCCCTGTCTCTTCTCTGGATTTTACTAGGATGCTCTAAAGCACAGTTTAGCTTAATTCCCAGTAGTGTGATTGCTAGATTAACGTTAACGGAGTGGGCCATGAGTGAGCTCGGGCTTGTCAGACGACCTTTCACGGCGATACAGAATTTCTGCCTTCGCAGCTTGGCCCCTTGCTCACACTGTGCCAGCCACAGGAGTCCCTACAGTCACCGAACAGCCGTGATCTGTTGCTGAAACTTGGAACTGGCTTCTGCTAACAGATCTCTTAAATGCTAAATGGGACTCCACTGCTGTCTTGGTTCAGTGTCTTAAAAGAAAAAAAGAAAACTAAACCCAGCAAACTGCTTCTTTCCCCTAGGACAAGAACTGTTGCAAGAACTTGGGTCGGGCCAGGCCTCAGGAGTGGGCAATGAACCGCTAACCCCATGCTTGTGTGCTTTACTCCTAGACAAATGCCAGCACGTAGCTAACTCCACATTCATTAAACCCAGGATTTTTAACCTAATCTTTTGGTTGTTTTGAATAAGCCTGGTGGTTTTCTTCATGCTTTGCTATTACTGCAGACTTATCTCCTAGAAACATGGTCCAAGTGGAGGAGGGAAAATACCCAGGCAGTGTTTTGTACCTGTCCATTGCTGCTCAATGGCCCTGATGTGGGCATCGGTGAATTTCCAGTAATGTGCCAGCTGCTTCCATTCGCCGGGTTTGAGGTACTTCGTAGCCAATCTCCACGTCACCGAGCGAATGTGCTGCGTTTCCAGCCTGTGGTCTTGCTTAAAGCTCAAGTGCTTTGCCACCCAGGAGTCGGAGTCGCTGTTCAGATTGTCCTGCCAAGTCAGAACAGCGATTTCAGTCGGGACACTGCGGAGGCACCCATCAGCCCACAGCCTCCCGCATCCTCGGCTCTGCATGTTGCTGTCAGTTCATCCTGGTGCAGCACTTGTTTTTTTTTTCTTTCTTAATTCTCTTTACTGTTTCGCTCTGTTCTAATCGTGTGCGTTAACAAACGCTGTTAATAGCACCTTTGCTGTGGAAGCCCGTGTGGACTGCAATTTGCATTTCTGCAGCGCCTTTTATCTGGGGCTTGTACGCAGAATCAGCTCATTAAATCTCTGTGCTCCCCCGCAACACAGGCGTGGGCTCACCTCCTGCCCGCGCCAGGCTGCAGAGAGGAGGAAAGACTTTCCTTCACAGGCGAGGGCCCGATACACACAGCACTACTCCTGACGCTGCGCCCAAGCCACATACACGCTCCCTTTCCTCCTCCTCTGTCCCTGCTACAGCACTGCCTTCGCTGGCACGTGAGGGTGCCCAAAGGCCTTGGAAGACGCAGCGGATGCAGCGTTTGGCTGTGCTGTCAGCACACCCTCTGATCGGGCTGGCTCGGGCACAGGCTTGGGGTAGGCAGGGTTTCCACGTGGGGCTGGGGCTGAGCAGCTGCGCCTTGCAGACGGGACCACGCAGGGGGAAGAGCCCCGGCCGCGGGGCAGTTTGAGAGCGAAGGCGGTTGTTTGACTCCGAGAACAGATCGCTCTGCTCGCAAGAGGTGTCTCCCTCCCACTGCTGGAAAACTCCTCACCTGGTGACCTCAGGCCAAGCATTTTCCTGCTCAGCGCTTCAGTTTCTGCTCCTGGGAAGAGGAACTCACGCTACCCCACTCCCTTCTACAGGGCTTTGGGAACAGCTGCCAAAGAATCTTTGAAAAGCCCTGTTCCCTTCCGCACAGCCCAGGGTTTTTAACAACAGAAGCCTTTTTAAATAAGGAAAGCCTTACATAGATATTGTGGGCATGGTGAAGACTTTTGTTTTTCTTAAGTAAGGTGATGAAAGTAGAGGTCAGGCTGTCACAGGATGTCCTGTATTTCTTTTCCTTTTGACAGCTGGTAATGTGGAGCCTTCCTGGAGAGGCCAGAGCTACACCAGCCCTGGACAGTGCAGGGACGGTGGTGTAAGCTGCTCACCTTTTCCCATTTGTAAAACCGATCGGCTTTGATAATCATGTCTGCCAAGTTGATGTGATTGCCTCGGGCCGCGACATCCAGAGATGTTTTCCCTTGCTGAAACAAGAAAGGGGAAAATGAGCTGGGAACGACCCTGCAGGCGTAGGAGGTGCAATCTCCGTGCCCACCCAGCGGTGTGCAGTAGCAGCCAGCATGGCCTATCGAGCAACACACCCAGCCGGGATGAAGGACCCCTCTTCTCCCCCTGTAAACTCCTCGGATGTGAGTTAGCTTCGAGTTTAGGTTGGCTATTATGAAGAAATTCTTTACTGAAAGAGTGGTCAGGCATTGGCACAGGCTGCCCAGGGCAGTGGTGAAGTCCCCATCCCTGGAGGGTGGTCAAAAAACCTGTAGGCATGGCACTTCAGGATATGGTTTAGCAGGCACAGTGGTGTTGGGTTGATGGTTGGACTTGATGATCTCAGAGGTCTGTTCCAACCTTAACGCTTCTATGATTCTATGACACTGTGTGCAGGGCACAGGGATGCCTTTTCTAGGCCCTTTTGCCACAGGAGATCTGACCGTTCGGCCGGAGCGGTTGGGAACGCATCCCGTAGCCCACAGTGGATGGCAAGGTGCTTTTGGGCTCCCAGCAACACGGGTTTGGCTGTCAAAGGACCAGCTCAGCGCTACAACCCGAGGCATTTTACAGCCTTTTCCACGGCAGGTTTGCCGACACATGAAACTGAAGTGATTTATACAACCTCATGAATTTTATAGGCTCCACAAATGTGTGATTAGAAACGGTCTCCTAGGAGAAGCATGGGCTGATGGGACCGTGCGAATGTAACTACACTCCTCACATCAACAGGTTTTGGACTGGGCAGGGAAGCAGATTTGTGTTTACATGTAAAAGCACACAGCAGAAAGGAACAAGGTGTGAAAGCTGCATGAAGGAAAGCGAGCCAGCTCAGCTATCAGGCACGCCAGTAAGAAAGGTTCTTGCCTCAGGTGTGAGCAGCGACCCAACTTCACACTGAAAAGTGTGACCGCGTTCTCTGCACCGCGGCTCGCTGCAGTTCCACGGACTGCTGGAAGGTGGCAAAGCTTCACCGCAGCTGAGCTGAAGGCCCTTTCAGCCAGGTGGCTCGGGGTCTGCATGGAAGCTTTAACCCGCTGCCAACGGCGGACGCTTTTTGACTGTCTGCCCAAGCCCCCCTCAGCATTTTCTGGGCACATCTCAGCTTTCAGGCTGCACGCAACTTGCCCGATTCCTCTAGAATTCTTTTTGTTGATTTAAGTGGAGGGCAAAAGCCCTGGACACTGGTGCCAGATCTATACCAACCAGATACTTTTAATCTATTAAAACACATGTGCTGTAATTCTTGAGCGATATTATTTATCATTATTTGAGAAGATCTTTGATACTCATGCACATGATAGCACAAGTAGAAGTAGAAGGAACTAGAACAACTTTGAGAAGAAAAAGTTTGCTTATTGTGTGAACTGTTTTCTACCTTCCTAAGAACCAGTCGCTTCTTTCCCGGAAAACACACCAAAAGAACCTGCTCAGCAGTGTTTCAAGGCCTTATCCTTGGAAATATCCAGATTTTAATATTTTTACTAGCCTTCCTTGAAAATCATGCAAAACAGTGGCAAAGGTCATCCATATTTTGCCTCCCTACCCCCAGAGAATCTATTCAACCCACAGAGACATTTACCTTGTCTGTTAGCTTCAGATTAACTCCTGCAATGAGAATCATCTCGGCAATGTCCTGCCTGCCGTGCTCCGCAGCGATGTGGAGTGAGGTCTGCTGCCTCTGCAGAAGGAGGGTGAAAGGATTCAATTTCAGAGAAGAACAAGCGTGAGGCTGGAAGGACAGGACAGAACAATACCAGGAGGAAGTGCTGTGAGAATGCTGTCAGCTCTGCCATCCTTTCTCCTCTACCCCTTTTTAAACTGAGGGCCAAACACCCTCCTACCTCAAAGTGGAGCTGGGTTCCTCAGGCTGAGCAGAACTGGTCTGTCCCTGTCCCAGCACTAGGAAGCTTCCCTGATTTAGACCTTTCAGTCTAAAGAAGGAACATCGCCAGTTCCATAAAGCTCCCTAGGGTCACTTATAGGACTCTATTATTTCCTGTTATTTGAACAATTTCTGTAGGCAGACAGTTTGGCCAAGGGAGGAAAGGACCTGCGCCAATTCTTTGTTCCTGGGACGCAGGGCCGGGTTAATGTGTATGCACTGTAAACTGTGTGCACCTTGGGACTGTTTAATGGAAACAACAAAAATCAAACACAAAATGTGGCAATTTCATGGTGTCACCAGGAGAGAACATCACTACCAGAACAACCACTAACCAAAATGTTACAAACAAGCTACACAAAGCCCCTCATTCACAAAATTACAATTTGGTGAGACAACTGGCTACCTCCAGGTTTGCCTCCCATTCTCAGCCCCCCATTTTGCAGAGTATCTTCCGGCCTGAAATTTCTCCCTGCTGCTTCCAGGCAGGGATGAGAGCGTCTGACTACACACAGTCTCTGCACACAGGTCCCAGGGACATGGCACAGCCCACGCCTTGAACGCCATCAAGCCATTACCTCACTGCAACACTGAATCATTTCACAGGTTTCACGTTTCCTAAGCTGCACTTCCAAGTTTTCCCCATTTTAAAGCACTCCAATCCTGTCCCCAAGGTGATCAAATCCCCCACGAAACTGGTTCACATTTCGAAGACAAAGAACAGGAGCTGCAGCCTTACATTATCGGGAATGTCAAGGTCACACTCCGCATCGATGAAGAGCTTCACCATGGCTGGGAAGTTCTGCAGCACCGCAATGTGTGTTGCTGACGCATTTTGCTGTGGAAAGAAGACACCACGCTTAGGAAGAGCTTAGCTCATGGCACTGAAACGACCACGCTGTGCCCAGCATGTCTTATTCCAAGACAGCTGCCAGTCTGGACCTGGGTTGGACTGGGGATACTGCTGCACAAGCACAGACCCCATCACAGAGTTGCTTTGTGCTCTTGAACAGCTCCACAAATTGGCTTTGCCTTTCTGTAGGCGACAAGAGCATTGAGCACGACTTACGTGATTAACGGCGTCTGTGTGGATTCCTGCATCCACGAGGATCCTGGCTATCTCCTCATAGCCGTGCAGTGCTGCGTAATGAAGGCAATTCATCTTCTTCTGCGAGGCACATCAGAAGAGACGGGTATTAGTCAAGTCTGCTTCTCCAAGGCTGTGGCTGTTACAGTCTGTCCACAGCGATCTCCCTGCTTCCCTCCTGCAAGAGCCCCATGTCCCCAGGCTGACAAATTCACAGAGATTGTCTCCACAGCCAAACCAGCCCCAGGCAGCCTCACCTGCCTCTTTGTACAAAGCCACGCGTACTTTCCTTTGGACTCCCCGTGCTGTTTCTCAAGTGCTGGGCTCCACACGGCCTCACCCGGTAATGGGTGCCCTCCCTGGGAGACCACAGGTCTGGGCAAAAATCCACAGAGCAGTGTTCGGAAAAGGAACCACCTCCACACAGCTCACCTGGGTTTGGGCATTGACATCGGCACCTGCTTCCAAGAGCAGCTTCACACAGTCACTGTGACCCCCCTCAGCAGCCAGGTGCAGAGCCGCAAGTCCCTCCTGGACAGGGCAAAAAAGGAGACGAGCAGCATTTCTGTAGACCAGGCCATGGCAGAGCAGCAGAATGAGCAAGCCTCCACCCTGTCTTCTGAATCCATGACATGTTAAAATACCAATTCTGAGGGTCAGGGTGATAGTTAGTAAAATAACGGACACAATTTTCTGCCACCAACATATCAGAGTACTGCTCTGTCCTTCTGCCACCGCAAACAGCTGGCCCATGGGCCACAAGACAGCATGTTCATCACTATTTTTTGCTTTCTAACGGGCTGAAGGGGAGAAAAGATTTCACGTGGACAATGAAGACAAACCATTTTCCTGGAGTAGACAAGAAACAGCCACAGGCAGAACTGGAAACCTGTGGCCCTCGACCACTGGTTCTCCCTTCCGAGGGCTGCCGCTCATTTCTTTACAAGAAACAAGCACAATTTTTAAGTGATTTAATCTGGTTTTATTACTGCTCTTCATGCAAAGGGCAGCTCATCTGAGAGAGCACAGAACTACCAGTTACTGCAGAAGGTGGTTTCCCTTTTCCTTCAGATCTTAATCACAAATACGCTTTTCAAAGACAGTAACCAAATAAGACTAAAAAAAATTACTGATAAACTTAATTGGGAGTGTGCCCTGGAATAAACAACAGCGTTACTAAGACAATATTTCCTATCTAAATCATTAACACGTTCCAGCCACATAATTTTCCAAAGTACATCTGTCAAAGAGAGATCTCAAACAGAAGGTCCATATGTTCAGTGACTAAGTCAACACCACAAAGCATACTGAAGTTTAGTTTAAAACGCACTCAATAACCATTTAGGCACTTGAATGTACAAGGGTCAGGAAGAAAAAGGAAGATTAAATGGAGTGATAAGGTAGGTCAGCAGATACAGCTGGAAGAAAACGCAACACTTTCAAACTGGATATTGGTCCAAGAAGGATGCTGCCTTTCACTGACACTCTGCAAGTGTGACCCGCATTTACACATGTATGACTTTTAGAGAAAATCAGCTATCTTCTAAACCTCTCCTGTCAATACTGACTATTTAGCCTGATGACTGTGGCAGAAGAGTATTTCTAGGGAGCGAAAGGGTGAAACTGATGTAGTTTTCATTTGATTTAAATGTACTTACTAAGTTCTTTTCATCAAGGTCCACTCCAACATCTATAATCTTCTGCAGCACAGAGAGGTGTCCGTTTTTAGCAGCTAAATGCAATGCCATATTTTCTTCCTGAAAGTAAACACCACTTCATACATGTCTGTATCACAGGACTGAGCGTTCACACACCACAACCTCGCACAGTCCAGGCTGACTGAAGAAGAGGTTGTTAACAGGTAGCAAGAGTCTGAATCTGTCTTCTAACAGGCACACTAAGGAGGGAAGAAACCCAGCTACCTTAAAATGGAGCACGGTCTTGCTGCGGAGCCTGCCTGAAAATTCCTAGAGAGAAATCCAACATGGGCCAAGGTGCAAACGGCTTGCAAATGGATAGAAAAGAAGAGCCCTGACATACCACACCACAGCTACAACTGCTGACAACTTGCCTGCACGAGCCTCCTTTGGTGACCTGTTCCCTGACTTTCACCTGCTCTAATCCTTGGACTTGACCTCCCTCATGTGTGGTTTTATGCCCGTACCTTGTCTTTGGCACTGTGAGAACAACCCAGTTGGATCAGGAACTCCACCACCTCCAGCCGCCCATACTCTGCAGCCAGGTGAAACGCCGTCCTGTCCATCTTTGAAAGGAAACAGAAAGAAACAGAGTCCAAGAAAGGCTCAGAAAGCACAAGATTACATCATCTGCTGCAAGCAGTATAATAATACTTTGTGTGATAACCCACTCACACAGCAAGCTTAGCATCCACAGGGGGAAAAAAGTGCTGCACTTCAAAAACAGTTATCTTTTATTCTGTTGCTAACTTTTATTCTGCTTTACATTTGGGATGACCCTAACAAAACAAGGCGAACAGAACTACCCACTGGGCCTAAGAACTCCAAGCAATTTGGTCTCGCCAAACACTGGAAAAGAGATCATTTCAGTGTTTACTTCATATAAATAGAGGATAATAAATAGTTTACTAAAAGCAACTATGGATAAAAAAATGGAATTCATATCTGAGACCCCAGCTGTCGAATGACTCAGAACCCCTTTTGGGCAAAGGGGGAAAGGCAGATCTCTTGTTGCCCCGTTTAACTCCCAGCATCAGAGTGGGGATCACTCTTGGAACCATGAAGGCTAGGGAGTGGAAAAGAGTCCGCGCCAGCTCCTGTGTGCTCCCATGCTGTCTTCAGGAACAGATCAGCTAATGCTGGAATGTGCCAGGAGAGGGTTACCCTTGGTTATTGCCTACCTACAATACACTCGGGAGCATCAGCTGCACAAGAGAAGGATGCTGAAATTCCTGAGTTTATTCTGCAAAAGGCTACACTGGGAAACCCTGGCTGCTGAAGCTTGATCGGAGCCAGAACGCCCTAAGCCCCTCTCCACAGGAGGGCCAGAGCCTGCATGGGACACCCTTGATACTCCGAGAGTAGCATCTTGTGAAACAAAGCAGCGAAAAGCAGCCTTCCTACATTGTCTGCCTTATCCACACACATGTCCTCCAGGTCCTCCATGATGAACTCCATCACCCGGATGTGTCCCCTCTGAGCTGCGCAGTGGAGCAGGTTCCTGCCATTCTGGAGAGCAGACAAAGGACCATTTGTTTAACGATTCCAAGACTGCGGGACATTCTCTTTCAGCAACCTGTTCCTGTTAGCAAAGACCCATTTGATGTGTCCCTGCAATTCTAGGGCTAAACCAGCTTATGCCGCAGATGGCAGGTTATAACTCTGAAGTATTAATTCTCCTTTTCCCAACCACGTTCTATTTTAAAATACACGGTCTGCTGATTCTCTAAACCCATTTCCCATTTCCATAACACCTTCCACCTCAGCACTGTACACATGTGAGTTGAGAAAGACTTGTACATCTCTATAGCTAAATTATTATACCCGTTTTAGGAAAAAGCCTAGGCTTGGAGGTGAAGATGACTTCACCTGAGGTCACACCACCAGGCAGAAGTGCAGACGGCAGTCCCCGTAGCAGAGGCTGTCACAGGCGATTTCCTTAGCTCACAGGTGAGCCTCTGTCTCTCCCCCCCATCACTGGAGCTGTACAATGGACCCACGCAGGAAGACTCTCTCACCCTATTGACACAGTTTATCTTGGCCCCAGCATTAACGAGGATCTGCAGGACGCGAAGGTGGCCAAACCAGGCAGACAGGAGAAGTGCATTCATTCCAAACTGGGCAGGAGAGAAGAGAGATACTTCCAGCTAAGCCACAGCCACCCCATCCCCACCCTGGAGGGAAGCTGTCCCTCTACCTTCATGAAATTTCCCAAATATTTTTGTTTCTCTCTGGGTTTTTTTAGTCCCACTTCCTCTAACTACTGTCGTTCCTTCCACAGATGGTCTCAGCAGCTGAGCAGAGACCTCTTGACTGCCACTTCCTAGTCACTGGTGCGTATTAGCCTGGATCTTCTGGAGGAAGATAGAACTTGCTGGCTGTCACTGTCTTCCCACAAGCCCCAACAACATGACCAGAAGCAGCCAAGAATCTCCATGCTATACAGAAATCCTCACACATTCTATCAGCCTACTTCCCGGTGCATGCAAGGGAAAGGCCAAAAGACAGAGCACAGACACATCTGAGAACAAAGCTTGCTGCAGAAAGGCACTACACCTGCCTCAGCAGGGCGGCCACAGCTTCCCAAGCACCGCAGTGCCTTGTGCCACCCACCCAGGGCTAAGGTGGAGCCTGTAACTGCTGGCCCAGCACCCAGTCCCCAGCGCTCCCCCAACACAGAACATGTTTGCAGGACAGGCAAGGGAGCTTCGCCTTCGTACACTGTCTTCGTCATCCACTGGGATATCGTGGTCCAGGAGCAGCCGCACAGCATCCACGTTCCCCGCTCCCGCGGCCCAGTGCAGGGCAGTCCGGTCTGTCTGGAAAGAAGGAAGGAAGGAGAGAGGGAAGGCTGAAGTATGCAGAGTGCGCATGTATCCACCAGTCTTCCTGAAGGCCAAACTCTCCGTTGTCATCCACGGAGCCAGATTTCCCACCCACATCATGCAGGGTTTTCTTTGGACAGAGCCCTCTGTCTCTTTGCTCTTGTCAGGCAGATAGTGACTTCTCCTAGTCACCTTCTACTCAGAAAGTGCAGTTATGGGTTATAATGACAGCACAGGAATGAGAAATATCGCTGACCATGGATGGACAGATTGAGACAGTAGGGATGGGTGCAATCCCGTATTTCCAGGAACCTACTGGTCAACAAGGGGAGACCTGCACCAGGAACTGAGTTAGTCCCACAGCCTTGGCGTACAGAGATGGCAAAACCAAAGCCTTTCATTGCAGCCGTGTGTACCTGGCACACGGGTTCCAAGGGGAACCATAAATTGTCACCTTCCCTCAGCGCTTGCAACTTTCCAGTCTGGCCAGGACGAGAGCGCTGCGGTTTTCAGTGTGTGCTGAAACTGCTCAGCTGCCACAGGCTCTATTCAGCACTGGGCGGTGTATTTTAAAGCTTTGACCAACCAAGCAGCTAATGAGCAGAGCAGCGTTAAGGAGCTGCAGTTCTGAAACACACCCTCAGCACTTCCTGCAGCTTAGAGGTAGAAAAACCCAGGACTTACACTATTTTTGGCTTTGATGTCGACCCCTCTCCTGATGAGCTCCTCCATCCTGGCCGTGTCATTACGCTTCGCCGCATCGTGGAACTCCTTCTCTGAATGAAGCACTGCAGCAGAGACAGAAGAGTGGGCATTAAAACAGCGCTGGCAGGGAGCACGGAGCAGCAAGCGCCAACAAACCTCCCTGTCATCTCACCAGCCCCAGTGGCTTCAAGGAAGGATGACTGCAGAAGGATTCTTCCAGCAAGAATCCCAGCCCTACAGATGTCAGCTTGTTTCCTGGATTTGTCCTCTCCCACTGCCTCCCCTGCCCTGAGCCCCCCTGAGCCACATCAGTGCTCTTCCAGTCCTACCAGCTTCTCTTCTAATTCAAGTGTCTTTCCCTGTTTGCCTGGGCTTGCTCCAGCCCCAAAACCTTTTGATCCATTAGGTCTGGCACCCTCCGAGGCCCAGAGCTGGTGTGAAGGCTCGGGCAGATGAGCCAGACCCTGCCCTCCGTCCCTCCACTCACATCCCGCTGCTCTACAAGGAGGCCTTTACACATGGTCCTGCTGTCCCCCTCCGGGCAACGTGAATCAGCCAAGCAGCACAGAACTGCTAGCTTGGCCTGTCATTAGTATTGCATCTCTTAATAGAGCGTGGCAGTTCTGCACATAATTTACCACAACCGGCAGCATTTGTACTGCACAGTTAGGCACGATTCAAAGATGTTTACTCTCCATGCCGGGCTTTGCCCCAGCAATCTTCTAAGTGGGCATTAAAACAGCGCTGGCAGACAGCATGGAGCAGCACGCGCCAACAAACTTCCCCGTCATCTCACCAGCCCCAGTGGCTTCAAGGAAGGATGACTGCAGAAGGATTCTTCCAGCAAGAATCCCAGCCCTACAGATGTCAGCTTGTTTCCTGGATTTGTCCTCTCCCACTGCCTCCCCTGCCCTGAGCACCCCTGAGCCACATCAGTGCTCTTCCAGTCCTACCAGCTTCTCTTCTAATTCAAGTGTCTTTCCCTGTTTGCCTGGGCTTGCTCCAGCCCCAAAACCTTTTGATCCATTAGGTCTGGCACCCTCCGAGGCCCAGAGCTGGTGTGAAGGCTCGGGCAGATGAGCCAGACCCTGCCCTCCGTCCCTCCACTCACATCCCGCTGCTCTACAAGGAGGCCTTTACACATGGTCCTGCTGTCCCCCTCCGGGCAACGTGAATCAGCCAAGCAGCACAGAACTGCTAGCTTGGCCTGTCATTAGTATTGCATCTCTTAATAGAGCGTGGCAGTTCTGCACATAATTTACCACAACCGGCAGCATTTGTACTGCACAGTTAGGCACGATTCAAAGATGTTTACTCTCCATGCCGGGCTTTGCCCCAGCAATCTTCTCCTTGATTGAACAAACCTTCCTGCCAACAAACAAGAGCAAGGCTGTGACTCTGGGCCTGCCGCAGCCCCACAGGGACGCTCTCCAGGTTTTTGGCAAGGCTGGTGTCAGTTTTTGTTGGACTCAGTCTCTGCCCTAGTGCTTTTGGGGAATTCTTTCGAGAGGTGCTTGAGGCAGACCCTCAGCCTGTCACAGCCCACTGAAGAGCTGCCTCGGATGCTCTGCGCTCTTCTACGTCTGCTGCAGATCTCAAGCTGCAGTGTGAGGGCAGCAGGGGCTCAGTGCAACTTCAGTTTGTGTCAAGGTATCAGACACTAACCACACGCCACACAAGAGGCATGAAAACATATTACTGTTCCCATTCCACCACCCTGAGGAGATAAACAAGACACTGGCTGTCTAACTAGCACTACCCCATTTCTCTCAGGAGGGTGCAGAAGGCAGGCACCCCCACTGTGGACTCTTAGGGCAGCAGAGGTATAACCTCATCCTCCAACTTCTGTTCCTCTTACCCTCAAGCAAAAACCTTCAGCTCAAGAAAAACACAAACACCACAAATATTAATACTAGGCAGGATCATTCAAGAGCATTGGGCCTGCTGCTACAATGAAGGCAGCAGGATGTGGACACTGATCTCTGCAGGACAAGGATTTTCTTTTCTGTATATTGAGACCCTGTTCTCATCGGGTCAGGTGCGTTAATGGGACCACATTTCCACACCGCGTGGACCCTTCACTTGCGAGGAAATATCAGGAGAACTTGGGAAAAACCTGTGGAGGTTATGTCAATTATTAACACCAACGACTACACAGATACTACCTCCTCACAAACGCTTATCTCCGTTCAGTGGAGTAAACCCTATGTTTCAGCTGAGCAAACGTTGCTGCCCCTGCTCTCCAGGTGACAGAAACGTGTTCTTACATTTTATGGTCGCACAAAGCATCATTGTCAAGAGATGCCAAACCACCCCTTGATTTCTTTATTCCTTCCTCTACTTGTGCAGATGCGATAACAAACCTTGCATCTCTAAGGTTGCAGAAGCCGCAATTTTATTTATTTTCAGCAACACATGGGAAACCATTTGATGTTTCCTAATTAGTGTCCACACTGGCAAAGCCAGCCCGGCAAATGTAAATACACCCTCGCCACAGCTTGCGAGCGGCCCTGCGGTGGGGATTGAGCAGTTTCTCCTTCTCTTTCGAGCTCAGGTTCTGGGGTATTTCATACCTCACGGTACTGAAGATGAATTCAGTCATTCCAAAGAGCGGGGAGAACAATTTAAGCGATTTACCCTCAGTGCAATGCACCAACTCACAGGCAGTTTATTATGCAAGAGATTTTTAAAAGCAGCCAAGGAGAAGAAAGGCAAAGAAATGTGTGCTTGGCTCTACCCGAGGCTGCAGGACACAAAGACAACCCAGTACAGCCGGAGACTGGTCGATAACGGGGGCCAGAACGCCGAATTGGGGGATACTGGTGTTACCTGCAGCATCTTAGGGGTACTGGATGCTCTGGAGCAAAAGCAGCCCGGATTCCCGCCTAGGTGACACGCCTCGCTCGTTTCTGAAGGAATTTCTGTACCTTTCGTCATCCTTCAAAGCATCTCGGCCGGGCCCGGGGGAAGCCGCGGCCGCGCCCGCCCTCCCTG